AATGCTCTATACAGTGGCCAATGTTATCACATCTGTTGTCCCATTTTCCTCTCTGTCATTAACAGGTCTAATATTTTATAATATAATTATTTTAAATCTGTAATATCAAGGAGAAACTCACTAAATATTTGCACACAAGCGATATGAATTAGTACTTTTGAATTAAAACATCTGTTTCATTTCTTGCAGTTGTTATATTTTCTGTACATGCTGCAAATCATTTTCACAGGCATTTGGGGACCAGGTTAAATATACAGCTATGTCCTCAGTGTACTGGGTCTGGCTGTGACAGAGTTAGGTTTTCTCCACAGCAGCCTGCATGATGCTGTGTTTTAGATTTGTGATTAAAACTGTGCTGATAATGCACCAATGTTTTAACTATTGCCAAACAGTGCTTGCACAGCATCAAGGCTGCCTATCTCTCCCTCTGGCCCCACAGCAAGTAGGCTAGGGTGGGCAAGACGCTGGTAGGGCACACAGTCAGAATGGCTGACCCAAACTGACCAGAGGGCTGTTCCATACCATAACATCACACTCTGCCACAGAACTGAGGAACAGTCTTTCTAAATTAACAGTTGCTCAGAGACAGGCCGAGCACGGTCTGCTGGTGGGAGGTGGTGAGTAATTACCTTTGCACCACATATCCTTCAGTGCCTCACTGGCTAAGCAACAATGAGGACATACTCATTTCTTCCATCCTTCGGAGGGAAAAGAATTCAGAACAAGGAATAACCTTAAAGCTTAGTAGTAACCATCTAGATAATCACCTAACAACCCCTTTCAAACTGGATAATATATTTTAGGTGAGTTTCAAAACACAAAAATATAGGAATATTGTTTTTAAACAAAGCTTACCTTTAATTTCTTATTTAGTTTACAGCAGTATCTGTATAACATTGCCAAATTTAAAGGTCCAAAATCTCCATAGAAACTGGGAGAAAAAGAACAAAAAAGGTATTATTTATACAAAAGACCTAAGCAAATTTCAGCATGCATGTTCTTGATAAACCTGCAAATGAGTAACTTCTGGGGGATACCAAGTAGCCAATATATATGGTGCAATAGATAAGTCCTTTATTGATTCATTTAAGAGGACAATAGTAACAATTAATGTGAAAACATTTGTAGCTTCTGTTTAAGGTGTTCCAGTAAGTATCTCTTCCATTATATACACACACTGACTACAGAGATTTTTCTTCATCCCATGATATCCAGTCTGGTTTTGGACAAAATGACAGTGAAGAACTTCAAGACATGATCTACTCCCCTTTAAGCCATGCTGATGTCACCCTAGATAAAGGTTCTACAACTGCTTAAGATAAGAATGTATCATTAGATACCATGATGAATAAGCTACGTAAATTTTACTACCCATAAGAAAATTTATTTAATAGTATCCAGTCTTGATCTCCATCTGAAATGTAAGCTTACTTCTTTTTATCCCATCCTCCACTATTCCAGAGATTACATATACACTTTACATGTAATTATGTTTCCTTTTTGTCTCCCCAATCCTCTTGTCTCTAGGCTGTTCTTCCAAATCATTATTCATTTACTGTCTTCTGATTGTTCCTGTTTCTCTCTTCTAGATTTTCTTAAATGTTTGTATTACCTTTGAAGCAGCAATCACTGTCCTTAGGATAAGAGCTAATAGCAGTAGTCTGTACAGGAGAACTATTGCACAATAAAAGTTCCTGGCAGGGATTCACAGTGCGCTTCCTACCTAACGCTTCCTAGGGTTCCAATATATTTCCTTTTTGTATGTGAAAGTCTTTATCTTGATGGTCTATGAAAATTTGTTGATGCACAGCTTATAAATTACAGTGAGAATGTACTTTAAACTATTTTAACCTGTTCTGCCTTAAGTCTTTTGATAAGAGACAGGACACTTCTTGCCTATTGACAAACAAAACAGGCCATCAGCATCTGAATGCATGTTATTTGGAGAATGACAAAAGAAAAAAAGTAACTATGCTCTATGACCTCTGGGCCTTGAAGGAGTGAAAACTTACTGAAATCAGATGATAGACTACGTGGTAGTACCTTTCAAGCTTTCTTCCCCATGGCAGAGGGTTTATTTTTCAGGAAAACTAACTACGTTCTAGTTAAATATAAGATGAAAACTTTTACTTCGAGGGCATTCAAACATTGTGAAGAGGTTGCAGATTCACAACCCAATTGTACAAGGCTGAGCAACCTGTTCTTCTTGACCTTGCTTTGAGCCCAGGGGCTGGATTAGAAGATCTCCAGAGGTGCCTTCCAGCTTCAGCGATTCTGCTATTGTAAGTGGACACGAAGTAGGAGTGCCTTATCTTTTTGGTGTTTATAACTTTATTAATATCCTCCTCCCCACATTCTCTCAAACAAAAAAGCCAAGCCCAGTGCAAAGAGACACTTACATCACTCCGATTACTGTCTAGGTTGTGTAGCCTGCCTGCCACACCAATGCTATTTCAGTATCACCTACTTAAACATTTATGTTATTTGATGTTGTAAAGATTCAGTTCAACCCCTCAGTACAAAATATTAGGACATAATGCTTAATTACAGAAGCTCACTAGCAGGGTCAAAGACTAAGCTGTCCAACTCTTAGGACTTTATTTGTAGGTTGCACAGAAGTTAACCAACTCAAGGGAAAATTGCAGTGGCAGTAAAGCAGGGTTTAACTCTAGAATTCCTCATCCTTTGTTAGATAAATCTGACAGATAAGGTCAACAGTTATAGTTATTTTTAAAACAAAACCCTCCATACAGTTAATAGAGATGAAATGAAAAAAAGTGTTCTAAGACTGACAAGTTATTACAAGTAAGAAGTTAAAACTGGAGCTCTAACACTAGAGTGAATGTAGCTTCTAGAAAAACTATATAGGAGGCTTACTAACATCTCTTCCCATTCTGGTGCACTAACACCTTCTCCAAATCAAAAACACAACCCTATCTTGTTCCATTAACTTTTAGAGTATTCTTTCACTTAAATATACGATGAAGAGTAGAATTTAGGATTTTAAGATTATTTTGTGAAAAATACTTTTTCAAGTATTGTGAAAAAGTGTGGTATATGATAGTTACTACAATAGAGAATACTTTTTTAAATCAGCGTGAAGAAAGCAGCTTTGATCAGCTCAAAGATATAACTGAACACACAGTTCATATAAAAGCACTGAAGAACTACAGCCATGCTTTAGGATAACAGGTTTTTATTACTATTCATTTACTAGAAGTACATCAATATGAAGTCACATATCCATTTCTACCTTTCCACATGATACAACTCAAATGATGTGTAGAAAAAGCACATTAAAATTAATTTACAAATCAATTTATCTACAACAGACAAAGTACTTACTATTTTGGTATGGATAACAATAAAATACATTTGAGTCTATCCATGAAGTAATTACATTTCTACAAAATAAAGCTATTCAGATCCTCTCAGCCACTAAGCTAAAGATGTCAAAAACTTAGACTGATTATTTCTCCATCACTTACTACCATTAAGTATGTTGTGCTGCTTTTAACACGGGGTGGAGGGGAAGCATCAATGTTTAAGACTCTGGTACTACCACTGTTTGTCTAATGCTGCAGATAGAAGGTATTTCTCAGAATCCAAACACAATCATAAAGGAAAGGCACTTTTGGTCACTGTTGCACCAGCATTATTACTCATACACCAAACACTGGCAATTCCAAAGCTATTTACATAACACCATTGTAGGCAGTGTTAACCAGCCATTGGCTTAGTTGATAAAACATTGTGGTAGATATGTGAGGAAGAAAGGTTGTTACATGTATAATTTTAACTTTCTCCACTTAATACCTTTAAATTGGAATAAGATTGAGGTTTTTTTTAAACAGGAGTGAAACAAGTGCTTTACAAATGTCCAAACAGAAGGGTTTGCTCTTATGCACCCTTGTTACTTTTACTATAACAGGACATTTTTGTACTTGAATGAGACACATTTGATCCTGACTCACCCAGAGGATATTCTTAAGAAGAGAATTTTGACATAGAGTTAAATATAAGCGGAAGATGGGAAATGAGGGCTACAGGGAATAAGGAAGAAATGACACATCAAGTCATCATCCGAATAAAGACTTTTATCTGGCAGAAGTTGAAAATAAACATAAAAGAAATCAAGTCTTATGACAGTTACTGATAAGAAACTATCCAATATTATTTTACTTCCATCTCTTTTACAGCTAATAGACTTTCTTTGTTTCTAGATGTTTTAAAAAGCATTTATACACAATAAGAAGTCAGGATGCCTCTGAAGCTTAAGCCAGTTGAGGCAGTCATTTACAATGGCGGTAGGAACCAGATATGAGGAACAGAAGGAAAGTATGGTATTAATCTACATTTAATTATATTTTGTTTTAATCAAATACTTAGATGATAGCTTAAATTATTCTTCCCCCTCATCCCATGGATATTTGCTATACTTATGCTTCTCAAACTAAGAAGTAGCAAACCCCCAGAACACACTAGATGAATATTTAAATACTCTACTTCAAAAATACTATTGTAACACTACCTGGAAGCAGTACCATAGGTTTCTGGAATCTGTATTCTCCTTGGAAGAGACTCCTAGAACCAATCCTTCCTATCAGTTCTGATACCGTAACATGCGAGGTATTTGCTGTATTGTATCATAGGAATGGTCATCCACCTAGAAAGGCCAGCCCATAAAGAGCTTGTTGGTCTACTCTGTTATGCAAGCAGTTACTGTACATTCTTCCAGTGAATTTAATGGTGAAAGAAGTGTAGTCCACAACTCTCCTGGACAGCAACTTACTGTTTCTGTCTGCAGTTCCATTGGAAGCCACGTGAAGGAGCCATGAGTCAGCTGAAGCCTTCGGCACCCCTTCTGAATGTTGAAGTCACTTTTTACTAAGCGTTTGAATACCACTGACCCTAGTTACAGCACTAGAATGATAAACAGCTTCCACATCTTGAACTATTGGATGGAGCCTGGTTACAGTCAATGAAGGAATACTATAGCCTGGCAGACTTTGAAATTAATTGATAACCTCCATATTAACATCACAGTCAATCTTTTTATGGCCAAGATAATCAAGTTACCCTTCAAAGATAAAGTGCTCTGCTTACACTTTACCACAGAAGCCTGCTGCTTTTTCCCTGCACAGATGAATACAGCAGAGCAGTATTTTTATGTGGCCATTCACTTGCAGGTTTTCTGATACAGCACCAGAGGTACAGATGAAAGGATAGGAGATTCCTACCTGAAAAGCTGTTTCAGGGTTCTTTTCTTCATGACAGACCAGTGCAAGTTCAGTGTTACTGCTACACTGAAAATGAGCATATGCATACATTCTTACCATAGGCATTTCCAATGGTTTGAATATGGTCCAAAGCCTAATTACTGTACTGGGGGCATGGGGGTAGAAATAGGGCAGATACACCAAGTTAGTTCTAACAATGCAATAATGCTCAGAGGGGATGACATTACTTGTGTAGCAGCTTACTCAGTTACTGGTTTAGTAACTTGAAAAGAGGCACAGTTTAGCAATTGCAATCATTTTCTGGAGTATGTATACCAGAATTGAAGTACAAACTTCTCTTTTAGGTAGGAACCTTGCCTTCTTGGAGACCACCAACCATATGAAGTCCTTTTCCTGCCAAAAACAGGATCACCCCAAGCCTGCTCATTACTTTTACTCAATTACTCAAATTATTTAACCACAAGAACTTCAGAAACTAGCAGAAATACAGCTTCCTAACTGCAAAATTACACTAATTTTTCAGCATTCTACAAAAATCCAGCTTACTATTGAAATTAAGCAATGAGGCTGAATTAGAATGAGAAGAACATTCTCCACTTGCTTTTCTCTCCCCCTTTCCTAGGCTGGATTACTGGAACATTCCGGTCACTGTAAGGGCCTTGCTGCATGTGCTCTGAATCTAGCCATTAAG